ATACAGATAGAGATAAAAGTAATGGCCTGGTAAGGTACTTCATTCAGCCCTCCAAAATATCTTCAGAACCACTTCACTGTTCAACAACCATTCAAATAGTTTTAATGAGTGTCTAGTTTGTTACTTAAGGGGGCTTTGTATTGTGATAGATTTTAGTTTACCATAGGATTAACTTTAACTGTGAAAGTTGAATGCCATAGGAATAGAATAATTAAGGAGTGTCTTGTCAGCCAAGAAGAGATGGAATCGAGAATGAATGGACGATGAATTGGCCTGGAATGGCCTGGAATGGTTTAGGTTCTTCCGCTTGAGCAGGGGAGAGATCCAAGGTCTCTTCCAGCTCATTCTATTCTATTCTAATTTTGGTCATAAGCCGAGGACTACCCGTCTATCCAGCTGTCTTCTGTCTTCCCCTCACCTGTTCTCACATATAACTTTTCTGCGTTCCCATCCCTTCCCTTCCCTAGTTCCTGGGCAACCGATGAATTTCCGAGCTGAAGCGAAGAGCGAGAGCACGATTTTACTAACCTGGAGTCCTCCCCGCCAGGACATTATTCTGAAGTACGAGCTCCTTTACAAAGAAATCAGCAACAAACCAGGAACCCCGGAGGTGAGTCTGCTTTTGGGAATGGGAATCCCCACTGCAAGGAATCCTTGGAGTGACCATGCCCCCCCCCCCCCCCCCCCGCCCATACCTGCACCTGTGTCTGGTTTGCACAGTGGCTGATGGGACAGCACTCCAGAAGGTGAACGTCATTGCCCAGAGGATCGTGGGTTGCCCTCTCCCCACTTTGGAAGAGCTTTGTAGCTCCCGATGCCTTGAGAAAGTTACGAACATCCTTAAAGATCCATCTCATCCTGGGCACCCTTTTTATTTGAACTATTACCATCTGGCAGACGGTACAGGATAATAATAAAAACAAGGACAGAAAGGCTGGAGAATAGCTTCTGTCCCAGAACAGTAACTATATTGAATTCTACTATATAGTGCAATATTTGTTCTGACCAAGACTTTCTAAGACCGTAATTAAGCACATGCTTAGTCCAAACAACTCTTTGTTTTATTTCAACGCTGGGAATTATGTGCATTCCCAGCCTGTAATGAGTCCCAAACAGTCCCTTGAGATAAGCACCCACCTTTATCTCCTTTGAATTGCTGCCAACAACTAGAGTGCCAAATTAACTGTAAAAAAACCAACTGAAGTGCAAAGTCCACACAGAGCCTCAAGGTTTAATCCAAACAGAGCGAACAACTTTGCTTCCTGCAAAGGTTTCTCTACCTTTGCACCTCCTTTATCCCTTATGGGAGGGGCAATCACCTCCCAGCCTTACTCCTGAGTTGCCCCTTTTGTCTCAGCTGCTCTTGCCTTCTAGCAGCTCTGCGCAAGCGCGCAATGGGAACAGGCTCCCCTAGTTCCTCTGCCTTGCTGGTGCCAGACTCTGGAGCCTCCAGAGTGAGCACCCCACTCCCAGATGGTCCTGGTCCCATCTCTGCATCGGATGCAGGATCCTCGTCCGAGTCCTCCCCAGATTCCCGGAGTGGTCCCCGTTCTTTCCCACTGTCCAATTCTGCTGCCGTCTCCACCGGCTGCTGGCGAACCACAACTATATTAATGCAATATCAGGGGTTTCCAATTCCATTGTACAAAATGGGAAGGATGTGTGTTTGTGGTGTTTTTTTTTCATAGTTCCCATGTACACTGAAGAGGGCCTTTACTTTCATTGTGCGAGGTGCAACGACCAATAAAGTAAACTAAACTACCTCTGTCCTTTGTTTTCTGTCGCTTGTTTGGCTTAACGACCCTCGCCCCGGCTGCCGCCTCTGCAGTTTCTGAAGACGTTTGACCCCGTGACTTTCTTCCTGGTGAAAGATCTCAACCCCAACACGGAGTATGTCTTCCAGTTGGCGGCTCGCTCGGCTTTGGGCCTTGGGGCCCCGACATCGGAGGTCAGGGAGCGCACGCTCCAGTCTAGTAGGTGTCCCTTTTCTTACCCAGAATTCTCTGAAGGGATCACGGTCAGGCAGGAGGCGCAACGGCTGGGGGTCGAGGTGTGGAATGGCGACCAGGGTAGGGCATTGGGGGGGGGGGGCGAGCAAAACTGGAACCCCGTCTGGGTTAATTTGGCCTTTGCCCCGTAGGAGTTAAGCAAGGAGCTCGTTTTTCTGGCTGCAGGGGCATTTCTGGCTACAAAAAAAAAAAACCAACGGTGGGAAACTCTCTGTGTGGCTAAGCCTGGTTTATCAAAACATGTTCTTGGGCTGTGTTTCGAAGGGTGCATGCTGGGCTCAAAGGAACCACCCGCTATTCGTCGGTCTGCCTGTTGAGTCGACTCTCTCTTAAGGCTGCTCTCCAATCCTTACCCAACTTGAAAACGTGGCATCTTCCTTAGGGAGAAAAAAATGTGGCTCCCTTATGTTGAAAGTTCGGTAACCAGGATCAGTGGCTGGGGGGGAGGGGTTTGGATGTCCTGCCACGAAGGGATGTAGGTTTGTGAGCATCAAATGCTGTGGCTCGGGGTTGGATGGAACGGGAGGAAAACGACACCGAGGTCTACGGGATGACTGTATTTTGGAGAGATAACTCCCCCCCCCCAACCCCTCGCTCCTTCCTCTTCCCTTGTCCCATAATTCACTGTCACAGCATTTCCCCTTCAACTCCCCACTCCCCCCCCCCAAAAAAAAAGAAAGTACGACGGAGGGCACGGGGGGGGCACAATCATGCCACCAGGCAGCTTTACCTAGTGCTGGTTTTAGTTTAATGGATTGTCTCTCTTCATGGTTGCACCAGGGACTGCACCAATCCTGGCTGGCAATAAAATATGAAACTTTGCTTTAAAAAAAAAAAAAAGAATGAGGTGGTTTTCTTTATTGATTTTTTTCTTTTCTTTCTTCCTTTTGGTTTCCTTTCTTTCTTTCTTTCTTTCTTTCTTTCTTTCTTTCTTTCTTTCTTTCTTTCTTTCTTTCTTTCTTTCTTTCTTTCTTTCTTTCCTTCTTTCTTCCCCTCTTTTTCTTCCTCTCTTTTTTCTCCCTCGCTCCCTCTATCTTTCCCTTTATTTGCTCTCTCTTTCTCTTTCTTTCAATATTTTCTTTTTTCCTTCCTTCCCCTTTCTTTCTTCCTCCCTTTCTTTTCTTCCTCCCTCCCTCCCTCCCTCCCTTTCTTTCCCTTTCTTTGCTCTTTCTTTTCTTTTTTCTTTTCTTTCTTCCTCTCTCTTTCTCCCTCCCTCCCACTTTCTTTCCCTTTATTTGCTCTTTCTTTCTTTCTTTCTTTCTTTCTTTCTTTCTTTCTTTCTTTCT